ACAAACCAACAAACCAACAAACAAACAAACAAACAGACAAACAGACAAGCAGGCAACCAAACAAACGTAGATAGCTAGCAAGATCCTTCCATCCCTTCCATCCCTCCATCCCTCCATCCCTCCATCCTTCCATCCATCCATCCACCCATCCTTGCGTATGTGTGTGCATGCATTCACATGTGCATTCACATGTGCTAACATACAAGCATGCAAAGTTGTGTCTGTGTATACTATACATTTAGAGAGATGTATAGGTAGATCGAGATCGGAGGTGCTTATGGTTTTCACAAATCTGCGTACAACTTTAGGAAGGAACCACGCAAACTGAGCTCCGGTAATTCTTAGCGATTTTGAAGTGTGTCGACCGTTCGGGAAAAAGCGGCTAAGTTGTCGGTTGCTGCGAGATGAGGGACTTGGCTTACGGTTTGGGGTTGGGGCTTGCGGTTTATGGTACTGGGTTTCGGGTGTAGGGTTTGGGGTTTCAAGTTTACGGCTCAGGTTTGTGGATGTTTCTTCATGGAGTGAGTTCGGGCCTCCAAGGTTTTCTAGGGTTCAGGCACCTGTCTTTCTGTGCCAACCCCCCAAACAAAACCCTAAACCCTAAACCCTAAGCCCTAAACTCAAACCAAAAAACACGTTTGGTCCAAAACGGGTTGAGGACACCTGAAACACTCAAGGTCAACTAACAAGCTGAACCCAGAGACTCCAATACCCCTTAATTAAGGAATATACCTTAAATTATAGTAGGATCCCTAATATGATTTAAGGTATATTCCTTAATTAAGGGGTATTGGAGTCTCTGGGAACCTTACACTCTGCGGGCAGGGTCTTCTTGTTGAAGCCTCGACTGCCGATCTGAAACTCTGTTTGCTGAAACCCTAGGCATGTTGACGCATGATGAGTTGTCCCCTTTGGGCGCATGTTACAAGGGCGGAGAGGAAACTAACCAACGTGTCCTGTATAATTGTCATGGCGAGACATGAGTGTGTGTGTGTGTGTCCCTAAACCCTAAACCCTAGAACTAAATCGTAATTGCAGAATGTCTCAGAAAATAGTATGCAGACTACTGGCCTTGAACTAGCCATACGAGCGCGAAAGTATCTGGACGGCGAGTCATCAGCAGTAGGCCGAGTTTCCACGCAGACGATTAGGGTTTAGGGTTTAGGGTTTAGGGTTCGGCTCGATTCAACTATTAACCCGGGGCCGGTCGGACAAGCAAAAGGAGCAGTGAAAGAACAAGTTACAAACCTCCCGTACACTGTCTAGAACCCAATGCAACCCTTTAGCACCATACCCCAAAGCATATCTAGGCACAGCACAAGACCCGTCAACAATCCCCCAAAAGCCTTTCAGACCCTTCAAAACAGCCCTGTTCAAAGGACTGTGAGGTCCCAAACCATAGGGTGCCGCATTGAGCACAGAATCCATTTAGGCTTCTCCAAAAGGACCACGGTTTTTGACAGTTACCTAAACCCTGACTAAGCCCTAAACCCTAAATTTTGAATCCTGAATCCTAAACTCCGAACCTCTCAAAACATCCGCCCCTCTTGGAAACCCTCAACGCTCTAACCCTGAAGCCCTAAACCCTAGAACCCGAAACCCTCTAGTCCTATAACCCTCTAGCCCTATTTCCCTCTAACCCTAAACTCTATAATCCTAAACCCTCTAATCCTATAACCCTCTAGCCCTACAACCCTCTAAGTCTCTAACCCTTAACCGTATAATCCTATAATCCTATAACCCACTAACCCTAAACCCTACAACCCTATAACCTTCTAACCCTCTAACTCTCTAACCCTATAATCCTGTAATTCTAGAATCCTCTAACCCTAAACCCACGAACACTCTAACCCTATAGTCCTAGAGCCCTCTAACCCTAAACCCTTCAACCCTCTGACCGTGTAACCCTCGAACTGTAAACCCTATAATCCTATAATTCTAGAACCCTCTAACCCTAAACCCTCGAACCCGCGAACCCGATATTCCTAGAACTCTCTAACCCTTAACACCGCACCAGGGCGCCATCCCCTGGAAGGCGCCCTTCGGGGACTCGACCTTCGCCTCCTGGGGGGTTAAGTCGGAGATGCCCAGCATGTTCGCGATGAGCCTGGGCTTTTGGTTGAGTTCTTAAGTTGGGGTTTCAGGTTTGGGTTCGGGGTTTTGGGCTTTTGGTTGAGTTCTTAAGTTGGGGTTTCAGGTTTGGGTTTGGGGTTTTGGGATTTTGGTTGAGTTTTTAAGTTGGGGTTTCAGGTTTGGGTTTGGGGTTTTGGGCTTTCGGTTGAGTTTTTAAGTTGAAGTTTCAGGTTTGGGTTTGGGGTTTTGGGCTTTTGGTTGAGTTTTTAAGTTGGGGTTTCAGGTTTGGTATTAGGGTTTAAGGCATTTTGGTTGTCTTTTTTAATTGGGGTTTCAGGTTTGTGGTTTGGGGTTTTCTGGGAATTGAAGGTTCATTAGGGTTTAATATAGAGGCCTGAATAATTAGAACAGGGTTGTGGGGCCCACTATACTCTAATTATAGTAAGGAGGCCCCCCCCAAGATAATATTGGTAAATGTTGAGGCCCCTACATTAGGGGCTTGGGTTCTTATTGCTCGTGGCGTTTCGGCGTTGGGTTTGTTGTTTGCGGGCTTTGGGGCCCTGGGGTGCGCACGATTGATGTAGGGGCCTTAATAATTAGAATTGGGTTTTTGGGGGTATATATTATAGGTATAATAAGGAACCCCATACAGTATAGGTACTTATTAAGGCCCCATATTCGCCCGGAGATCACCGGGTTTGAGCGTTTGCTTTCGCCATGAGCCTTGGGGTCCTCTGGGTTAGGGTTTACAGATCAGTGACAGAGCAAGAACTTTGCCTGAAGTCATCAAGTCATTAGTGCAGTGAAAGCATCCTGAACTAGTCCCTACAGCCCTGGAAACTCAGCCGCATGTGAGACCGTCTCTACTACCCTGAAGACATGCCTAGTTGTGGCACACATTTTTTCCCAGAGATCCGGCATTTGGGGGAAACACCCCTCATTGGGAACCTAGCGGAGAGAGAGACTATCGGGGCTTTCGGCTTGGGAATTCGGGTCTTGATGTTTTGCGGCGTAGGGACTTGAACAACGTCGGGGCCAAGGAGGTATTCTAGGGTTGGTGGTAACATAATAATTTAATATGATATTCATGTCTTTACTGTGCAAAGAGATCATGAACAACATTGGTAATACCTGAGGCCTCTCTGCTAAACGGCTGGGTTTATGGTCTGCCTCGTAGCACATCCTTCGGAGCTGAAGCTCAGAAAGTCCTGCGACATGAAATACACCCTGAACCCTAAAACCCTTAACCCTAAACCCTAAACCCTAAACCCTAAACCCTAAACCCTAAAACCCTTAACCCTAAACCCTAAACCTTAAGCCCTGAACCCTAAAACCCTACAACCCAAAACCCAAACCCTAAACCCTAAACTCCCGAAAACCTGGGGCCGAACGCAGGCGAACTCCGAAAACCGACTGCAAGGCGGAACTATGCGAGGAGCCCTCGAAGCCCCAGTCGGCAACCCTCAAGGGCAGAAAGGAACACCGAGGGCCCCAAACAAACGAACGAGTTTAGGGTTTAGGGTTTAAGGTTTAGGGGGTTTAGGGGTTTAGGGGTTTAGGGTTTAGGGTTTAGGGGTTTAGGGTTTAGGGGTTTAGGGTGTAGGGTTCCGGATATGTTCGCTTGGTGGCTGCTTGTTGATCTCGTCTGCCCGCTTCCCGGTGCATCCTTTCACGTTCTTCCTGGAAACGAAGCGAAAAGAGGAAGAAAGAAGGACACCAAAGGGTTTCGGATTGAGGGTCTACCAGGCCTAATGTAGGGGTCTTAATAATTAGAATAAGGTTTCGGGATATATTGCACCATAACTATAATAAAGATTCCCAAAAATGGTATAGATAGTTTTTGGGGCCGCCTATAGCACACATCCTCCCTAAACCTTAAAGCCAAAGGCTCTCAGCCTTGGGTTACAGGCATGCGCAACGAAGGGTGGGTGACACTAGGACTTTCAGATGCGTTGAAGGTAAAGCGGGATCGGGGCCATTAGACTTTGCAAGAGGTTCGCCAACTTCCCAGATTCAAAAATACAAAACACCTCCACCCCACAGCCTAATCCATTCAACCATTTAACTTAGCCACCACCAGAATGGCGAGCTCAGAACCTGGCTAATGGAACGCAAAGTTCCTTGTGGGGTTTAGGAGTTTAGGGCTTCTTTGGGGTTTGAAGGTCTCCGGACGGCTCAGGGTTGAGGGTCTTAGCTTCGGCTTCACCTAAAAAAGGGACCTGCATCATCGGACATGGGGTGTTGAGGTAAACTATGGCAGCTTGGTAAAAGTAGACTAAGGAGCCTCCATAAATACTAACCATAGTACTGCTGATATCTGTTATTTGTGAGAATTTTGGCTTCGATGTTACGGACACGTTGGATCATTGAGGCATGGCTTCACTCCACGTGACCCCAGAAAAAGGCATCCGAGGTCCGCCACACCAAAGGGTTTGATATAGGGGCCGAAATTATTGGAAAAGGGCTTCGGGGTTCATACTGTGCAATATCATACAGGGGACTCTAAGGGAATGTGATTGGTAATGACGGACTCCTAAATTACAGGTCTGAGGAAAGCCATGGCTGACACATGGACGGAAGAAGGCCTGTGGGCACCGTTGAATGCACCTTACGTAAGCAAGCCTGAGGATTCTAATGTAGGGGCCCTGATAATTAGAAATGGGTTTTGGGGGATAATCCTATAACTATAATGAGGAACACCCCAAAACAATATAGGTAATTATACCCTAAACCCTAAACCCCTAAACCCTAAAACCCTGGACCCTAAATCTCTGAACCCTAAACCCTTAAATCAACCCTAAACCCTGATAAACCCTAAACCCTTATTAAGGCCCCTATAGTACCACAAACTCTAACATCCGCCAGGTGACGCTTGAGGCTGCTCTGGGTGCTTCGGATTCTTCCTGAACCGGGCAGAAAAAGCTTGCAGTACTCAGAGACTCCAATATCCCTTAATTAAGGAATATACCTTGATTCATATTAGGGATCCTACTATAACTTAAGGTATATTCCTTAATTAAGGGATATTGGAGTCTCTAGGTAATTAGGGTTTAGGGTTAGGGTTTAGAGCTTAGGGTTAAGGGCAGAAGAAAGCTTGCAGTAAGTCTCAGGTGTATAGAGCTCAAGCAACGTAAATTGCCAAATCCCAAATCCAGAAACCTCGCATTGGGATCCAAGCCAGTCCGAGTATCCACCCCGATGCTTTTGCTTTAAAATCCGTCGTTGAAGTGGATATTACGTCGCTTGAAGGGCCGTAACACCCCCTAAACCCTAAACCCTAAACCCCTAAACCCTTAACCCTAAACCCCTTATAAGCACAGGGATGACTACGTCTCGTGGAACTTTGAAGTCGGGTTTAAGGCCACGCCTTCGGGTGTTTTTATGAGGTTGGGGACTTGTTAGGGTTGCGCTTTCGGCTTGGTCTGTTTAAGGGAATTGTGGGGGGTTTAGGGTTTAGGGTTTAGGGTTTAGGGTTGTTTAGGGGAATTGTGGGGGTGTGCTATCTACTGTACTGTAATGTGGTGCCTCAAGGACTGGGAGTATCTTTGTTCTCAGTCGCTGTAGGACCCCTAAGCCGTGAAAGAATTATCTGATGGTATGCATTATCTCCTTTTGGCCGTGGAAGCATCATTCGGTGCCAGTAGAGGCGTTTATGAATTACCGCCCTCATGATAGACGGATTCTGGTATGGGCTTAGGGTACAAACACGGATCTTCCTGGATTTCCGGCTTACAAGCACATTCTTCATGCACAGCCATGTACCTCAATGACAATGCAGAGCCTTGCGATGCTCGAAGCCGAGGCCGAAATGGCGATATTTAACAGTGGTAAAAGTAATAAGAACATCAATAATAAAGGTATCAGTCAGAGTAAGGGTAGTAGTACAAGTCATGGTGCTGGTAATATCCTACCCCAAAAGCCAAAGTTTCTACACCCCGGGATCACAACAACTATAATTCTACACCTGCGCCCCCAAAACCCTAAGCCCTAGACCCTAAAGTCCTAAAGCCTAAAGCCTAAATCCTAAACATTAAAACCCTAAAGCCCTAAAGCCTAAAACCTAAACATTAAAACACTAAAGCCCTAAACCCCAAAGCCTAAAACTTAAATCCTAAACATTAACACCCTAAAGCCCCCCCAAAAAACTTACGATGAAAGCCCTAAACCCTAAACCCTAAACCCCCCTCAAAACTTACGATGAAAGCCGAGGAGCTCGATGTCAAAGGTGAGCAGGTCACCGACCTCCGGCTGCCCTAAACCCTAAACCCTAAACCCTAAACCCCTAAACCCTAAACCCTAAACCCTAAACCCTAAACCGAGGTCACCGACCTCCGGCTGGCCCGTGACGCAGTGCTTCACGTGGACGAAGATCTGGCGCCGAGCTGCTATAGGCTTCAGGGTTTAGGGTTTAGGGTTTAGGATTTAGGGATCAGGGTTTAGGGATTAGGGTTTAGGGAAGATCTGGCACCGAGCTGCTCTAGGCTCTTGGGTGTGTGTATGTGTATATACATATATGTACATATGAATGTATATACAGATATGTACATATGTATGTATGTATAACTATGTATATATGTATACTTGTAGAGCGAGAGACGAGAAAGAGGGTTTAAGGGGTTTAGGGTTTTAACAATGACAGTTCTTATGCCAAGGGGGTACTGGCAGGTTCAACGCTTGGCGATTAGGGGTAAGGGGCTTGGGGAACCAAGGCATAGGGCTGAGGGGTACTAGGGCTTAGGTGCACTATCTTGGGGTTGGCGCTCAGCAACTGGGGTGTAAAGATGCCCAAAACCCCAAACCCTAAAGCCTATAACGATACGGAACGTAGACCCCTAGCAAAAATTATAATTTTAGCTGCTTCTTAGGGTTTATAGTAGCCAAAGAGAAAAAACTATTTCAAAGTACCCCTAAGATAAACCTTGCATTCTCCGTGCTTTCGGACTTCAGGTTGGAGACCAGCAGACCCGCAATTTCAAACGCCCACAACGACCGAGGTCCTTGACTAAGGAGTATCTTCCCTAAGTCAACGCAAGTGTTGAAACCCCTCCTACTTGGAGGATCATGGGACTTAGTAAGTAAGGCTATAAGTACCCTAATTGGGGTTACAAATATAGTTACCTTCTTTATAACCCTAGTTGCTAAGTCCCATGATCCTTTAAGTACTTCTCCCGAAGCCGCTTCAGGTTCCAAGTCGGCGAGTGATGGGCACCAAGCGCCCGGCGAGCCCAAGACCCCTGAATTCAGGAATACACCTGAAATCAGAATGTTGCGACCCCTCAACCCTAAACCCTAAACCCCAAACCCTAAAGCCTAAACCTTAAATGGAAGTCTTTATGCCCTCCTAGCAGACTTAAAGGTGCCTCCTAGCAGACTTAAAGGTTTAGGGGTTTAGGATTTAGGGAGGCTAAACTGGCTTCGCATTTCAGGAGCCTGTGGTTATGCCACACTCAAGAGCGCAAACCTAGTATCCCTAAACCCTACTTGGAGGATCATGGGACTTAGTAACTGGGGTTATAAATAAGGTAACTATAACTCTAACCCAAATTAGGGTACTTATAACCTTACTTCCTAAGTCCCATGATCCTCCAAGTAGCCCAATGCCCAAAGTCAACCCAACACCAGTCGCCAACCGCCAAATCGCGCACACAAAACCCTCGCCATGCATCTCCTTCACTTGACCCTAAACCCTAAACCCTAAACCCCTAAATCTCTAAACCCTAAAACCCTGAACCCCTAACCCCTAAACCCCTACACCTTCAAGCCTTGCAGCCCGAACCCTAGGTCCCCTAATGCTGACAACCCAAACCCGATAGCCCCCAAAACCCGGAAAACCTTCAACCCCCACGGTTTAGGGTTTAGGGTTTACGGTCAGGGAAGCGCCCCCTTTTTGGCGTAAAGCCTTAAAGGAACTCTGAGAAGGATCCCCCTGAAAAAATCTAAACCCTAAACCCTAAACCCTAAACCCTAAACCTTAAACCCTAAATGCAGCTCGGGGTGCATCAACGCCGCAGCAGTCGATGAATCCCCAGCCCTGAGCATTCGACTGAGCGTTTCGGGTTAGCCCTATTTAGGGTTTAGGGTTTA